ATGTGATGATATGTTTTCGTAAGCATTTCGATATAATTTAATTAAAACACGATAATTCAAGCAGAATAATAATGTAAAGTCGTATTTTAAAAGTGTAGTAGATACAATAACTCCGATAATTTTACAATTGTATAAAGTCAGTCAAGTGAATCTGCAACGATCATTTGTTTAATAGCTCGCTTATTAATTGTAGCTAAAATCTATACTCTGGCACATTTAAAGTTCATTATTAGGTAGCCCTGAATAAACAAGAATATTCTGTATGAAATAATTGCAGTCAATATAAGTCATGTTAACATTCAACACATATTTGTGCCAAAATCCATAAGTATGTGATGATATGTATTCGTAAACATTTCCATAAGATTTAATCAAATCACGATAATTCATACTCAATAATAATGTGAAGTCGTATTTTAAAAGTGTAGTAGATACAATAACTCCGATAATTAAACAATTGTATTAGTAGATTGTAATATTTATAAATTAATGTTCAGTGTAATTATTAATTATCCTTAAATACGTGTTATAATTGGCTATTTTATAATAAAGGTATGAAATAACAAAATGAAATTACTAAGTGATTGTTTTACAGCTATACTGTACTGGTACATTTAATGAATTTTCTAATTTACATATTGATTTTAATTGTTTATAATATTAATATTAATATTAATATTAATATTGTAATGCATCGTAAAGGTTGAATGTAATTACCCTACTTAGTTTATTAAATATACATCTGATCTGAATTTCTAATTAGTAAAAACCAGTGTTTACATATAATATTATATTAATGTTATTGCGTAATTCTCTCTCTCTCTCTCTCTCTCTCTCTCTCTATTTACGTATATTTTATATACATATTTAAATATATAATTAAAAACATTGTTATTTGGAGTAAGTTGAAGTAAACAATATCTAAAATATATACCGTAATACATGTTAAATACAATAGTTGTACTTTATTTTATTACATTATATGAAGGTGATTATAATTATATATACAATTATATTTTATTTTAAAATAAAACCTTTATAATAACTTTGAAATTAGTTTAATTTTTAATTGATTAGTCAAACATAATATTTAAAAAAGTAATTTTAATATTATATAATCTGTAATATTAAAATAAAAAGCAAGATAAAAATGTTACACATAGCAAAATATAATGTTTTAATTTGAAATATCTTTTCATGTCTAATCGATAAAAAATTCAATTAAGATATTTCGTTATGAAAATATTTATTCAAGGTTCTATTATTTAGACAAACTAATATCTTACAATTTGTTAGCACACAATTTATAAAACAATGAATTAATTCTATAAATAATTTTATTATGTCCAAAACTTAAAAACTATGTCTTTAATCTAGGTTATTACAAATTATAATTTGTTTTGTATGACTAGATACGACAGTTTAACAATATATAATTTTATAATATTTAAGCAAGCATATTCGACGAGACATATAACCAAACAAAATGTGAGACTATATATTATAAATATGAACATGGATTGTATTTTATCCAGTGATAGGCTTTCATAATTAGAGGTTATATTAGCATAATAATGATAAATATGGTGACCATTCAAAAGCCCACTATTTTCCAGTATATTACAGTCCATTTCGTAATAATATTTACCTTTTAATTGATACCAGTATTGTATAAGTGATGACTCGAATAGTCGTTGAGATCTATAATATATTATGTGTTAAACAAAATATTTACATAAATTATAATTATCATATTTATATTGAATTGATTTCTTACATAATTTCAGTTTCATTGATGAATGGGAACTGCGGTCCATAACAGAGGGGTGTTGTCAGTACTGGCAGATAGGGTTGGCCCACATGTATAGACCTAAATCGTGGCAGAAATGGTACGATTATATTCTTCCATTGCTCATGAAGGACCAATACAACATTATCAAAAAACGCCAAAAGCTTTTCAGGGTTGTCCACTAATCCAAATAATGTGTCTAACATTGAACCCCTTTGTTTTAGTTTATTCCCAAATCTAATAAATTTTTGTCTGAAATCCTGGTCAAAGTCTTTGTGAAATTGAGGTGATCTCCACTCATCGTAATAGTGTTGATCGGTATAAACATGAAGTCTATCATCCAGCATATCATCCATTGTGTTGGCATTCATCACATCCCTGTTCACCATATTTGTCAACAAATCGTTGCGAATAATGGCCACTAATGGGGAGATACAGGCGATCCATAAGATGTATAACAAGTTATAAAAACCTAGAGATTCTCCGATTCCGAGAAATGGTTTCAAAAATATAGAGATGTGTCGCATAAATGACTTGTTTTTATTGTTACGATAAAATCGTCGGTTAACTACTCTATCGGTAATCATTATAAAGAGTATTGAGATCAGTATATATTTCCATATATTTTCGTCCAATGCTTTCCAAATGTCTAAAATGGGTGGCAAAGGCTTATTAACGTTAACGCTTACGTAGTTCATTAGGTATGACATGTATAGTGGTTTTGTACAATTAAAATTATTGACATCCATTTCCCAAACATAATTCATTGGAGTGTCATCTAATGCCGTCACTAATCCCTGTCTAACCAATTGGTTGTTTATTGTGGCATTATCATTATCATTATTCTCGGCACATGTAAATACATATAGATTTACACTATAGTATAATAATTATAAAAAATCAATATTTTTTAGTTGTATTAAATTATTGAACAGTTAGTACCTATAATTCACACGTTTGGCGACCTCTAATAGTATGGGTGCTATTAATGAGGAATAATAGGCTTCCCCTACTTTACCGTTTACTTCATAATATTCTTTCTATAAAATTAAAAATTAATTTTTAATTATTATACAATAAACTGTATGTTTTACCGCAGTATCAAAAGTTTTCAAAATGAAGGTATTGTCTGGTTTTGGTATTTGTTGATAAGTGGGCCCATAATTGCAGTCAATATAAGTCATGTTAACATTTAACACATATTTATGCCAATAAGCCAAATGATGGGACTCTATGTACTCGTATACCCTTCCCGTTAATCTAATCCAATCACGATATGATGCCCAGGACATTATTATGTTTAATGTTAATAAATAATAATTTTATTAATTAAACAAATACACTAATAAAGTACTTATAAACTTGTTTATAATGTATTTCTAAATTTAGCAATTAAAACACATTACTCCAATAACATTACATAATTAAATAACATAAGACTTTTTATTTACGTTATAGTTAATTACATAATCAATACATAATCAATTTGTAATTATCTTAAGACATTTCATATAAGATAATTAACATTATTTAATTATTTTGAACTTAATTTATCAGAAAGTATTTATAAGCTAGTATATTATCATTGTACCGCATAAATCTAATATTGATTTTGAATGACTTGTTATATTATTTTTATAATATATAACTAGTACAACTGGGTAATACATTTTCTGATTATCAAAGATCATAATCTGGTGCCTTTCCCAAACCTACCCTAACCTATCCTATAATATTTACAATTGTATTAGTAGATTGCAATATTTATACATGTTCAGTGTAATTATTAATTATTCCTAAATACGTGTTATAACTATTTTATATCAAAGGTATGAAATAATAAAATGAAATTACTAAGTGATTGTTTTACAGCTATACTGTACTGGTACATTTAATGAATTTTCTAATTTACATATTGATTTTAATTGTTTATAATATTAATATTTATATTGTAATGCATCGTAAAAGTTGAATATATTACCCTACTTAGTTTATTAAATATACATCTGATCTGAATTTCTAATTAGTAAAAACCAGTGTTTACATATAATATTAATGTTATTGTATAATTATCTCTCTCTCTCTCTCTCTCTCTCTCTCCCTATTTAAGTATATTTTATATACATATTTAAATATATAATTAAAAACATTGTTATTTGCAGTAAGTTTAAGTAAACAATATCTAAAATAAATGTATAATGTCATAATATAAAACATATACTGTATCTCATTCACTTCAATACTTAGAAAACAACATTTAATACACAACTTATAACTTTACAAAACTTTGTAATGGGGTTCTCATTCTCGCACCGGGATGCTATGCTATACATGGGTGGTATATACGAGTACATACAGTCTCATCATTTTGGTTATTGGCATAAATACGTGGAAAATGTTAACATGACTTATATTGACTGCAATTTTAGAAATTATACACATGATCTAAAAAACGTGGACAAAATCGACCTGGACATGCAATTACCCAGATATGAAAATACATTTAATGTACATACAGCTCATGACAGTGTAAATATAAATTTACTAATCATGTCATTTACTATGAGTTGTTTATCAAATAATTTCTAGAGAGAATATTACCCTGTTGATGGTGAAAATGCTGCATATTATAGCTCATTAATAGTACCCGTGTTGATAGAGCTTGGTAAATTGATGAACCACAGGTATAAAATTGCATACAATATTAAATGTAAAATTGTGATACTTTTATAGCGTACACCTATACGTATTCAAATGTATTGATGATGACTTAACCTGGATTAGGAGAGAGTTGATAATGACTGGACAGATAACTGGCTATGATTTTACACCAATGAATTATCTATGGGAAACCCAATATACTGGTATTCACTTATGTTCAAGACCACTTTATATGTCAAACGTGTTGAATATCATAAGTCCCGTAAACGTTGAACACTTGCCTTCAATTGCCGATATTTATAAGGGTTTCGACCGATATGTCTGGTTTGCCATCATTACAGCATTCATCGCACTATTCATTACACACATGTATTCAAACAAATTCACAAATAAATGTACCAGTACAACTTTGTTTGGGTTTGTATGGATATACTTTAAACCCCTGTTAATGATTGGCGAAGACCTGGGTCACCGTAACTACATGTATATACTTTGGCTCATATGTATCACACAATTGGTTTATGTCATACAAAATGATTTGTTGGCAAATATGGTGACCCGACCCGAGATATACGCCGACACTATTGAGGACCTATTGGATGACAGGTATGAGGTATACACCGATGACTTCAAATACGACGAGTGGAGGGGACCGGTATTTTATGAGGGTTTTGGTAACAACTCATTCAGAGATAATTTTGTGAAACTGGTCACCACTAGGTTGAGGACATGGGATATGAAACAATTAATGGATGTATTTTCAGAAGTTTCTGAGTCCGCAAAAATTGCGTACATTTTTCAGTAACAAAGTGTTGATTCTGGACCAGATGTCGATGGATGTAATCGAGCCATACTATCCCAGATTTATGGCCATACATGTGGGTCAACAGTACCTGTCAGTCCTTATAACACCCCTATGTGTTGGACCCACCTTTGAGTTTATTAATCAGTCTAATGTTATGTGAGTATTGAATGTTGTGTTTAATTATATATTAATTATTTATACATAAATTTAATTATTTTATGAGTAGTGCTCAGCGTTTATACGAGACATCACTTTTGCAATACTGGTATCATTTAAAAGCTAAGTTTTATTTTGAAATAACCATAAAAATAATAGTAAATGGATTCTTTACGGGAGGGAATGGTATTTATGACTTTTACGCTAATATTACAGACGGATACAATGATATATACCTCAATGACACGCAATCGCTATTCGTATTCATGATCTATAGTCTCTGTATTTCTGTAATCGGTTTAATCTGTGAATTATGTTATCACCATGCTCACATATTTTTCTATGTATTTCCGATCACTTTATTTTTGTCTAAATATAGACACTAACTATACTGTATTGGTCATTTATCTATTTATTCAATCATTCAATCAAATGCGCGTTTCTATGTTAGATCTATTTATAACGTGTAATATTTACCAAAATTAATTTTGTTTAATATAATAAAATAAATTTAAAAAATAATATTGTTTCAATTATATAAAATTCTGAATGTATTTAGCGTTATGTCATATAAATGATAATTTCATATATTCATTATCAAGTTTAATGCAAACATAATTTTGTTAATAGTTAGTAAAATAGTTCGTATTTTTATAATTACAATATAATTAATAATTTATTTGTATACACAATAAATGTGCATGGCTCCGAAAATCACTAAGAAATATATTTTAAATAGTGAATATCATTATTTAATTACCCATATATGACTATTATAGATATCTACGAAAGTCTAGCGCACTGATGGGCAATTAGTCATTTCAATGTAGAAAAAAGGTTTCGATATTTCCAGAAATTGTTGACAGTATTTCGGGATTATAGGGAATTTCGGGAATAGTATAATTAAATATATTTTAGTTAAACATAGTTCCTGGAATATTGTCAAAAAATATTTGATTTATCGATTCCTTATTTTCTATATTGAAATGACTAATTGCCCATCAGTGGTCTAGCACTACTTCATATGAATTCATTATTTCTATTCATAACCTATTGTTTGAGTTTTTGCTTGAGTATTATTTCGCTGCGAAGTGACGTATAAATGGGACTATGATTTGATTACCATGTATTTATATTTTGAAATCGCTAAAAAATTGCACTTTTAAAAATAATGTTAATTAATTTTTTAGTAAATTGTAATTATTTTTAGTAGATAATGAATAAATAATGTCTAGACATAATGTTTTATTCAGACAATGATACCACATTTGTACAGTACACTGTAGTTCAGTGTACTGTTTTCACTTATTGTATTATATTAGTTAGATTATTATTATATGCCTAAATATAATGATTTATTATTTATGATTACCGTTAGTATTCCAAAATCAAAATAAATCTTTAATAATCAATTAAATCTCCCTGTCACAACTAATTAGTATAGAAATAATTATTAACGATACGTGTTATTAACCTTGGCCATATATTAACAGACAGGAAATATGATATAAAGTGTAATTTTTTAATCAAAATATTGTTGAAGACCTCAATGAGACCATGACCAAGGTCGGTCCATTTGGAGCTCCGACCTTTACCTGACATCAATATTTTCAATCTGACCTCGACCTCGCTCATATAATATATTATTGTATAACTAATATGAGTATATTAGTATTATAGTGCTATTGATCATTAAAATAATGAATATACTATCACATTAACTAGCTTAATAATTGATGTGTAATAATAAAAAAAAATTATATTGCTTAATTTTTTAGAAATTTTATTTTATACCACCCGGTGCTCTGGCCATTCACTACTAAAGCACTTTGTGTTGTACAATTGTTAATTGAAAATATAAATTTCATTATAAAAGCATTTTATTATTAAAAATTTTATTTTATATTCATGACAGCATGAGAACTAAGTTTAATGTCACAATAGATTTTTTGTTATACGCTTTTCAGTAGGGAAAAAAGCGTATACTAGAATCACTTTGTACCCCCTCCCTCGCCCCATCATTAATAACGCTGATGATTTCATCAGATTTTTATTTTCGTGACACATCACTCATAGGTATGGTGCCCCGGGAATATCGTCATATAGAAATTCACTCTCGATTCAGGGGATGAATCTCACAGTTTGTTTGAGTCAACTAGCGATGTATGCATTTAACAGTTTAATACTATATTTACAACACTAGTATTTTATGAATCAGAAATTAGACATTAATATTAATATTAACTTTTCAATATACTAATTTTATTACTCATAACAAGTTATAACTTGGGATTAAGTTATTTGTCAATGTTTTTACTATATTTCCAAACAAAAAGATTAATAAATATTCATACTCTTAATCAAAATGAAAATTATGTTTCCAACAAAATATTTAAATCACTTAATTCATTAAATACTAGTGTTGTAAATAGATAATAAGTTTACTAATATTTTAAAACACTAATTTGGGGATTTTAAAAATTTTGGACGTCTCTGCTCAAGGGCATCGCCTAACCTAATACTAATGCAAGTTCAAGAAAGGACTGCTCAGACCCTGGACTACTCGACCACGTACCTACAGGAGTGCAATGCGCAGGTCCTTGCAATGCTGTGCACGCAATCCCCAGACCCATGCTCCTTCGGTAATGACGCTGATAACGGTCAAATTGCATTTCCCATAGACTTAACATGGGGTTTTTGGTCGTAAAAAGCAATAAGGACTGTCTTTCCTATGGAAAATCCCAGCAAAAGTCGGCAAAAGTATTTCCGATGACGTAATGACGCTGTGGCTTCCGGCCAATGTTAACCCTATGGGAAAATGGTGTATAATGATGGTGAATGACGGGTGTGTCAAAAAATGTCGGTTGCGGAACCAAAAATCCCATAGCGTTAAGCGGCAAAAGGAGATTGAGGGACATGTGGTCAAAAAGTACGACCAATAGGCACAAAAGTTCGATGTTAAGTCTATGGAATTTTGAAAAGTGGTTTAAAACGCCACACAATGTACATTTAACTAACATAGATTTGACTATTTTCTCCCATGTTAATCCTATGGGAAAATTTTATAAAAAATGCTTAAACCCCCATGTTAATTCTATGGGGAAATTAAATAAAATGAGCTTAAAACCCCATGGCTACAAAGTGCTCAATATCACATGCTAAACCTATGGGGAAATTGATTCAAATAGCTTCAAGATCCAATGCTAATTCTATGGGAAAATTGGTTCAAATTGCCCCAATATCCCATGCTAAACCTATGGGACATTGGGCTCAAATGGGTTAAATATCGCATTCTAATCCTATTGAAAATTGATTTAAATAGCCAAAATATCTTATGCTAATCCTATGGGACATTTAGCTCAAATGGCCCAAATATCCGATGTTAATCCAATGGGAAATATAATTCAAATGGCTCTAAATACCATCCTAATCCAATGGGAAAATTGCCTACAAGGTTTGCTTAACAAGTTTAAATTAGGTTAGTTTAGCTTAAGTTAGCGTAGGGTAAGGTTGGTTAAACTAAATTTAGTTAAGTAAGGTTCGGTAAGTTTAGGTTAAGTTTGGTTTTGTATGTAGTGTAAGGTAGAGTAAGTTAGGTTAGGTAAGGTTGTGTTAAGCTAAGTTAACGAAGGAAGGTTAGGTTATGATTGAGTTGGTTAGGTTAGGTTAGTTTATTGTAGAGTTTGATTGTTTAGGTCAGGGAGATAAATTTTAATTTTAATTATTCCATGGCACACCTCTAACAATACCTATGGTAACATTGGTATTGTAAAGGGGTATTGCAGATTATTGTCTATTTATCTACCTGTGCCACTAATCAATCCCCTAAAAATTATATAAATATTAATAATTATATGAAACCCAATTGTTAAACTTATAGACAACAATGGGTTGAATATTTAAAATATTTTTAAAAATCTTTGCAATGTTAAATTTTTATATAAAATTCAAATATATTGAATAATAAGAATAATTTTTATAATATAAACTGACATTAACTAGAAAAGCGTATGTGTATCGATTGACTTCAGTCATCCGGCTTGTTTTATATTAATTTACTATTCATAGATATTTTATTGCATTTCAAAAAACTGTAAATTTATTCACGAATAATATTTATTATCGACCCAGTTTTAATGTCATACTAGTATAATTACGGCTTTCAACAGTTTTTGAGTGAAAAATTATTAATTTACATTGATAACTTACTAATGCCTATAAGATTACGAGTTGCTATCAATCAAAATTCTATTAATTTTAACAATTTTGACATATTATGTGTAAAATTATTGTTGTTTAATGATTCAGAATGTTGATATCTGGTATAAATTAATTTCAATATTTTAGCTATATCAAATCATATAATGTCATAATATAGTTTAAATAAATATATAAAACTATATATCTCATTCAATTCAATACTTCGCAAATTACGTTGAATTCACAACTTATAACTTTACAATACTTTGTAATGGGGTTCTCATTCTCGCCCCGGGATGCCATGCTAAACATGGGCGGTATATACGAGTACATACAGTCTCATCATTTTGGTTATTGGCATAAATACGTGGAAAATGTTAACATGACTTATATTGACTGCAGATATACAAATGGTCAAGAATTTGTAGGCTTGCCATTACCCAGATATGAAAATACATTTACTGTTCTTACTACTCAAAAGAGTGTAAATATAAATTTACTAATCATGTCATTTACTATGAATTGTCTATCAAATAATTTCTAGAAAGAATATTACCCTGTTGAAGGTCAAAATGCTGCATATTATAGCTCATTAATAGTACCCGTGTTGATAGAGCTTGGTAAATTGGTGAACCACAGGTATAAAATTGCATACTAAAGTAAATGTAAAAATGTAATACTCTTATAGCGTACACCTATACGTATTAACATGTATTGATAATGATAACATGCCTCATATGAGAAAGGCGACAATGAGGGGACAGGTAACTACCTATGATTTTGCACCAATGAATTACCTATGGGAAACCCAATATATTCACTCATGTTCAAGACCACTTTATTTGTCAAACGCGTTGAATATCATAAGTCCCGTAAACGTTGAACACTTGCCTCCAATTGCAGACATTTATAAGGGTTTCGACCGATATGTCTGGTTTGCCATCATTACAGCATTCATCGCACTATTCATTACACACATGTATTCAAACAAATTCACAAATAAATGT